TAAATATACAACCTTACTTTTTTCACCATTGAATTTCATTTTATTAGATAGCGTCCAATGTTCAAGGTTGTCAAGATCCTTCTGTATCCTTAGCCTATCTTCTGGAGTGTTGGCTATTCCTGCCAGCTTGGTGTCATCTGCAAATTTGATGAGTTCCCCATTTATCCCCTCATCCAAATCGTTGGATGAAGATGTTGAAGAGTACTGGGCCTAAAACAGAGCCTTGGGGTACTCCACTGACCATGGGGATGTTAAAACAATCGTAAGTGGGAAAACCTGTCACAAGTTGCTTCTTAGTGCCATTTTAAGTTTGATCGGTCAGTAAACGAACAGTTGCCAATAAAGGATAATATTTGTAGTTCAGGGTTGAGATGAGGGGTCCTTGGTGCTTTCTTAAACTTGGTTATTTTCTTCCAGACATTTCATTACCCAAACTAGGTAACATCATCAGGGCTATCCCAGAGGTGCTTTTTTCAAGAGGCAACTAGACTTCCTTGCTTTTCTTGGAAGACGTTTCACTTCTCATCCAAGAAGCTTCTTCATCTCTGACTGGATGGTTTGGAATGGAATCCAGTCAGAGCTAAAGAAGCTTCTAGGAAGAGAAGCAAAACATCTTCAAAGAAAAACCAGAAAGTCCTCTTGAAAAAAAGCACCTCTGAGACATGGCCTGGTTGACTGAGAATCTCCATAGATATCCTCAGTGCTAGTTACCTAGTTTGGGTAATGAAATGTCTTCAGGAAAGCAACCCAATTCAGAGACCAGCAAAGACCCCCTCAAACAAACGGTTGTAAATCAAAGACTACCTTATAAAGTGAGGAGAGCTTGTCTGGGTCAGACAAAGCCCCCTCTAGCATTGGATTCATTGTGATTTTATGAGCTTTGCGTTTTAACACGAGTGAAGGCAAGTACACCTGTCCCAAGGTAATGCTGCAGGATCCAGTCTGGGTTGGTGTGTATTTTAAGGTGGATGTTCGACTCAGGCCGACCATGTGCTCCATTTCTTTCTCTACAGCTGAGGTCGTGCAGTAAAAGTGAACTGATCTCAAAAAGCTCCGAGATTTTAATGATGTTCCAACAAGTGCACCGGAAGCCCATGGCCTCTTTTGTCACCACTCCTGTCCCTCCAGACTTCACAAGGTACAGCTTCATCTACGGTATTTACAACCGATCAAATGTGTTGTTTGACCCGTAGGTCACTTGTTTCTCAACCTTGGCTACCTTTAAGATGTGTGGACTTCAAATCCCCCGAATTCCCCAGCCAGGCATAATAAATGAAAGGCGTTTGAGCTCAAAACATGTAACCTTCTCAACTTGCACAAGGCCTGACATTTACGCAAAGGATGTGAGAAACATTTTTTTTTAATGGAAACACTTCTATGATAATCACTATAGTTTAGTGAGTTTTGGAGAAGAGATTTGCACCGTTAGCAGTCAAGAAGAATTTAAATGCCTCTCTGAGGGAGATGTCCGGTTAATAAACAGAAAATATAAACAAAAAATCCTTACTGTAAATTAATTGTACATTAGAGTTCTAGATGAAAATATGTTTTTTTAGCCAGTGGTAAGCTTGTGTGGATGAGGCCGAAGGGGAGATATACAACACCACCTATATCCTGTTCACAACACAGTCCTTTCAGCAGTTCCAAGAAGATTCCACACCCATGATACTTAGGCAGATACAATGATAACAGAATAACAGAATTGGAAGGGATCTTGGAGGTCTTCTAGCCCAACCCTCCTGTTCAGGCAGAAAACCCTATACCTTTTCAGAGAAATGGTTGTCCAATCTCTTTTTAAAAACTTCCAGTGCTGGAGCTTTCACAATTTCTGGTGGCAAGCCATTCCACTGGTTTATTGTTTGCACTGTCAGAAAAGTTCTCCTTAATTCTAGGTTTCTTCTCTCCTTGATTAGTTTCCATTTGTTGCTTCTTGTCCTGCCTTCTGGTGCTTTGGAGAATAGGTTGACCTCTATGTGGCAGCCCCTCAAATATTGGAACTCTACTATCGTGTCACCCCTAGATATTCCTTGCCAAGAAGGTTCATGTAGTTTGAAATTAAGACAGACTTTGAAATTGAGACAATAGTGCACCTGCTTCTGAAATATCCTATCTGCCAAGTTTAGAGGGCAGAATTAAATTCCTCTTTAATTACAAACTATTGGGATCACTCTAATGTAGCAGTTCTGCAATGTCTACTGAACAATCCAGTTTGGTCTCATGGTTGAGGCACCAGGCTAGAAAGCGGGAGAACGTGAGTTCTAGTTCTTAGCCATATAAGCTAAGTGGGTAGCCTTGGGCCAGTCACCGTCTCAGCCCATTTCTCTTCAAAGGGTTATTGTGTAAAAAATAAGAGGAAGAAAATGTTGGATGTGTTCGTCGCTTTGAATGATTTGCAAAAACAATCAGGTGAGGTACAAATAAATAAATAAGAAAATTTCCAGACTTTTGTATCATTGCTATGAAGATTAGAAGCTTTTAGACCTGATTGTTACCCAGGTGTGTGTAATATGTGCTTCATGAGTAGTATAAGTGTGTATTGAACGTTGTATGATGGATTTATTTTTAACATCTGTATGTTTTGTATATGGCCATATATTTTAATAAACTATTACCATCCCTTTTTAAAATCCTGTGAAGGAACTTTGAAACTTCCTGCAGTTTAATAAGGAAATATGTCAAGAGGTTCTTTTAAAAAAAATAATAAAGTCTCATGCTTTTGCTTTTTCTCTGCAGTGAGTTAGTTCCTGCTTATGATTCAACTACCTTTGTCCTGGAAAATTTTAGGTAAGAATATTACCTAATTCTAGTTAATTCTTTAGAGGTGGGTCTGCAATGAACTGCCCCTGGATTTCAGGAAAAGATGTGTCTGCTGAAAAGAATGACATCTTAGTGTTCCATCTGTTTGTCCACATACCCTGGGATGCCCCTGTTTGAAGCAGAATCCAAAGCATAACACTTTAGGAGCCATGGTGGCGCAGTGGTTAGAATGCAACATTGCAGGCTAATTCTGACAACTGCCAGTAGTTTGATTCTGACCGGCTCAAGGTTGACTCAGCCTTCCATCCCGCTGAGGTGGGTAAAATGAGGACCCAGATTGTTGGGAGAAATATGCTGACTCTGTAAACAGCTTAGAGAGGGCTGTAAAGGGCTGTAAAGTAGCATATAAAAGTCTTAAGTGCTGTAGCTATTGCTATTAAGGAATGTTTGCTTTTTGGAACTTAGTCTCTATTCAAAGGCTGCTATCATTCTATGTGCTAAATTCTTCTCTTTCAACTTTGTTAATAGCACTTTACGCCAGCGAGCAGATCCAGTTTACAGCCCACCACTTCAAATTTCTGGGCTTTGTTGGAGGCTAAAAGTGTATCCAGTAAGTTTTCATTGATGTTTATTTACTTACTTAATTTTATTTATTCATCATATTTAGGAACCAGCCATCTCCCTCACAGAGGGACTCTGGATAGTGTACAGATAAAATATTAATAGCATTAAAAGCAGCATATAAAATATAAAATTTAAACTAGAAAGAGACAAGTGATGTTAAAAATTAATTAAATAGGATTGATAGCATTAAGAGATATTTGAATTATTCTTCTGATGCACTTCAGCACTCTAGTCCTATGATTAATTCTGGAATATTGTTCAACTTGCTGAAATTCAGGACTTCAAATGTAGATATTTGAATGTAATATTTGAGGAATGCAGACTAAACATAGAGCCGTAATATAAATATTAACAAATATATTTTAGAATAGATAAGCGCCCCCCCCCCCCCAAAAAAAATAAACCCCATTCATAATATGCTATATAGCCATGATGGCGAACCTGTGGCATGCATGCCCGAAGTGGCACGTGTAGCCATGTCGCCTGGCCCATTCGTCTTTTGGGTTTCTGGCATGCACACACGCACAACAATCACCTGATCTCCATGCATGTGGCAGTGCTGGAAATCGAAAGACCTGGTCTTCGGTTTTCCGGCATGTGCACTGGCCAGCTGATAGTCGCCCACATGCATGGCAGTAACTGGAAGACTAGCTGGCTGGTGCGCATGCGTGTGTCGGAAACTGGAAGTGCATTTTCTGGTGCACGCATGCCCCCTGGCCAGCTCCTGTTCTGAGTTGTGGCCCCAACGAGCGTGCACACTCCCTTTTCGGCACTCGCTCCTGAAAAGGTTCCCCATCACTGCTGTATAGTATGATTGTTTCCCCTTAAAAAAAGCTGATTAACCACAAGTAATTTTCATTGACTATTAAAAACAAAGCTCATTATTTTCAAAGTCATGTCAGAATTGCTACTTAATATGCTTTACCTAAAATCCTTCTTTTGGGAAAGCCTGGACATTATTTTCTGTTTAGGCCCATTCCTAGTCAAACAAATTGTTTGAAAATGTAGCAAAAATGGATACGAAACAAAAGTCACTTGCTATGACAGCTTGTCTAACTTTTGTACAAGACATCCTAGATTCACTGTTTTTCATATTTGAATATTTGAGATCAATCTGTAGCTTTCTGTTGCACTCTGTTTATTGAATGAATATTAAGCTATTTGGCAGTTTGGGTCTACTGGTTCAAGATTGACTCAGCCTTCCATCCTTCGGAGGTGGGTAAAATGAGGACCTAGAATGTTGGGGGCAAGAGGCTGACTCTGTAAAGCACTTAGAGAGGGATGTAAAGCTCTGTGAAGCTGTATATAAGTCTAAGTGCTATTGCCATTCTGCTGACTTAAGAAAAACCGAGCTTTGATTCATTATGGGCGACTTTTTGTTCAAGCTGTCAGCACATAATAACAGAATAACAGAGTTGGAAGGGACCTTGGAGATATTCTAGCTCAATCCCTTGCTTAGGCAGCAAGCCGTATACCATTCCAGACTAATGGCTGTCCAGTCTCTTTTTAAAAAACCACCAGTGTTGGAGCATTCACACTTTCTGGAGGCAAGTCAAATAACTGGTTTATTGTCCTCACTGTTGGGAAATTCCTCCTTAGTTCTAGGCTGGTTCTCTCCCTGATTAGTTTCCATCTGTTGCTTCTTGTCCTGCCTTCTGGTACTTTGTATCAGGTGACACAAGGGATGTTAGTTTCAGCGAACAAGCCATTTCTTTGAGGCAACAAAGAAAGATGCAAGGGAACATCTGAGGTACCCTTCTTAACTTTAGATCTGGTGAGCTCTGCATCTGATACGAAGTTGACTTCCGTCACAGTAGGCGACTATAAATAGGAACTTCTAAAGCTCTTTTAATTGCTCCGGATTTATTCCTAACTTCTATTTTAATTTGTGTATGTGTGTGTGAAGGATGGAAACGGAGTGGTACGTGGCTACTATTTATCGGTATTTCTTGAGCTCTCAGCCGGATTGCCAGAAACGTCCAAGTAAGAACTAATGCAAGCATCTGATATTATCTACTGCATGCCTTTCCCACAATGAAAATTGTTCCATGTTTTATTTATTATTCATTAAACAACTCTCACATTGGTTACTCTGGGCACCTTAACAAAATGAAAAAAAAATCGACCATATAATAAATATCCATTAAAAAAACCTTTTGCCCTACCCCCTATATCACAGTAATTTGTGGCCCCAAGGCCCACTGACAAAAACCAACTTTTTAGGGCCTTTCAGAAAAGCAACAGGATGGGGGACAGCTCTGGGGGGGGGGGTGATTTTCCATAAAGAAGGGACCACCACCAACAAGTCCCATTTTTGTGGTCCTACCAGATGACAATTCCCAATTAATGTTGTGTCAGTGTAAGCATAGGCGCAGTTATGTGTCTGAGTTGCTAAATGCCCAGCATCTGGCTAGGAATTACAAGGGAAAAATGAAAGGTGGTAGTCTCATTTCAACTGTTCTTCCTTAGAGTGAAAAACTGATGATCTTATGCTGCACTTTCCACATTATTCACAAACATAACATTTGTGGGACCACCAATTCCATCCAACATCAGCCCACTCAATTCAATGGCACAAAGAGAGTCCACTGTTGAACCTCCATTTTGTGGAGGGCTGCTTTTGTGTGACACACTACTAATGCCGTAGAGCACAATCCCACCTGAGAATCAGACTAACCATATCCTTGGTGGCCTTTTGAATGCCTTAGGCTAGAGATGTTCCAAAGACCCTTCAAAGTCATTGAGCCATCTTTCCTGTTCTATTTTAATTTTTGTAGTTTTCTGCTGGCGTGGAATTTATTTTATCCTGTTTCCCTGAAAATAAGACCTCCCCGGATGATAAGCCCCAATCGGGCTGTTGAGCGCATGCCCTAAAATAAGCCCTCCCCCCAAAATAAGCCCTCCCGGAAAACATTGCAACACAGCAGCAGTCATGGGTTGACCACGCTCGCCGCCTCCTGCACCTCAAAAATAATAAGACCTCCCCGAAAATAAGGCCAAGCGCTTATTTCGGGGGCTCAAAAGAAAATAAGACCTTGTCTTATTTTGGGGGAAACATGGTACCATTTTATCATTGTATGGCTGCTGCTTTGTCTCCTACTATGTGTAAACCATAAGGGTCTCTGGATTGCAGTGGGGTAGAAAGGTGAATAAAAAAATAAACAATAAAGAATGACTTTTCAGTGATGTGAAAAGACGGAAATTGGCAAAAATTAGTACTCTCCATGTTACTCTTCAGAAATCACCTTCTGGATTAGAAATGGGTCTATGAAATATGAAACTGTGAAATATGAAACTGTGAGCTTAGTTGTTTTCTTGCAGACATTTGTTTACCAAACTAGGTAACATCATCAGGGTTAGGATAACCCTGACCAATAAATACTCTAAATGTGAAACTGTTAGAAGTTTGAAAGTGCAGGCTTTCTCCATTAGTTTTGCCTGCTGAGTATTGCACTAGACCAGGGATGGTGATCTTATGGCACGTGTGCCTCAGGTGGCATGTGGAGCCATTTGTCAGGGCATGCAAGGCGTTGCCCTGTCAGCTGGCCAGCTGAGTTCAGCCTTTTTTAAAGCCATTTTTTGCCCTCCCCAGGCTCCAGAGGCCTTATAGGCCGCTGGAGCCTGGGGAGCCTCTGGAGCCTGGGGAGCCTCTGGAGCCTGGGGAGCCAAAGAGCCTCCCCCCCCCTCCCCCCGGAGGCCCTCTGGAGGCTTCAGGAGTTTCCCTGAATCCTCCAGAGTGCAAAAAAACTGGCCCTATGGGCAAACCGGAAGTTCGGGAATGGACTTCCAGTTTGCTCGTAGGATCTGTTTAAGCCCTCCGGAAGCTTCAGGGAAGCCTTCTGAAGGTCCCTGAAGCCTCCAGAGGGCCTCAGGGGCGGGGGAGTGTTTTCACCTTCCCCAGGCTCCTATAAAGCCTCTAGAGCCTGGGGAGGGCAAAAAAAGCATGAAAAAAATGGGGGGAGCACCTTTCATGTGTGCATGCACATGGGTGGGGGTCTGTGTGTCACGTGTTGCATTATGGGTGAGGTACGCCCGCGCACGACTCCCCTGCGCTTCCCCCCTAATGGCACACGAGCCAAAAAAGGTTCGCCATTGCTGCACTAGACTGTTATGTGTGGCTATTAAATTGCTCTGCATATGGGAAAAGTGGTTGTATTGTTTGCCAGTCATCTTTAGCAATCAGTCAGAATAGAGCTGGAAGGGACCTTCAAGGTCTTCTAGTCCAACCCGCTGCTCAAGCAGGACACCCCATACCATATATCATTCCAGACAAATGGCAACCCAGTCTCTTCTTAAAAATCTCCTGTGATGGAACACCCAGGGCTTCTAGTGGCAAGCTATTCCACTGGTTAATTGTCTGGATTGTTAGGCAGTTTCTCCTCAATTCCAGGTTGGTTCTCTCCTTGATTAGTTTCCATCCATTATTTCTTGTCCTGCCCTCTGGTGCTTTGGAAAATAAAATTAATCTCCTCCTCTTTGTGGCAGCCCCTCAAATACTAGAAGATAGCTATCATGTCCTCCCAGTCCTTCTTTTCTCTAGACTAGCCAATCCTAGCAAGCTAAGAATCCTGAACTGGGTGTTGTGCTGAACTTGCTGTAGAGAGATACCTTAACTTTGGCAGGGAACAGAAGCCCAGCTGAGAAATTTTCCTGGCTTCCATACAATCAAAAAATCAAAATCCTGGTCCCCGGTTCAAGTTGCTATTTAATATACTTTATCTGAATTCTTTCTTTTGGGAAAGCTTGGACATTTGGAGTGAGATTTAGTTTTTATCTTGATTGCTTCAGTTTTTCAACTCTCACTGTATACTTTAAATCTTCCAGATAAGTTTCCAAGTTGGTTATGTACTTATTTGTCTCCTCTCATTCTAAACCATTTGGTGGCATTTTAATACCAAGCTACCACACCATCTGCAGTGCACAATCTTGCGTGGGATGGCCAGAACCTGCACGTCTGTCTGTGTCTGTCTGTGTCTGTCTGTCTGTTTGTCTGTCTGTCTGTCTGTCTTTCTTTCTTTCTTTCTTTCTTTCTTTCTTTCTTTCTTTCTTTCTTTCTTTCTT